TTATGACCCCATTTCACCACACGCAAGTGGCAGAAATGACAATGATCAGCTGACGCATTTTTCTTGGCCGAAGTCAGAGCGCGCGGCCCGACGCACCACCACCGCACCACAAAGTATGAGCAGAAGCCGCGCCCAAAGCCAGGGCCCCGGTAACGTGAGGTAGCCGAGTCGGGGCAGCGTGCGCTGACCCAAGCCGGGGCCGCAGCTTTGGGCGCGGTCTACCGCATCCCCGCGGGCAGCCCCGGGCTATCACATGACACCGGGAGGACGCGCGGCCCCGGCTTGGGTCAGCGCACGCTGCCCCGACTCGGCTACCTCACGTTACCGGGGCCCTGGCTTTGGGCGCGGTCTACCGCACCACCTAACAGGCGTGTTCGAAACCGCAGGAGATGATGATGAACGGGTTTATCGAAACTTGATTGGATGAGCATATCGGTAATAGCGATTTCAGTGTGTGCATTTATTGTTCATAGTGGTGTGAAATGTGGTTGGGGTACGACCGACAACCCGTCGGGGCGAATTTCGCACTGGGGTACTCAAAATTTGAAGAATTTAAGACGTTTCCATGAGTTTTGAAGGCATGGATAAGTTCTAAAAATCCGGTTCTCCTTATCTGGGCCATTAACTCCATACGGTCCAGGAAAGCTGGCACACTACCTTTAAGCCGTAAAAGAGATGGCGACAGTGATGACCAGCCGTCGGACCGGTCACTGTCACTGACCCGCGGATGAGGTGACCACCTGTGCGGTCACTCACGATGAACAATAGTGACCACAGGCGGGCGATACTCCCGGCCTGTAGGCTCTCGCTGTAGTGACCACGGGCGGGCGATACTCCCGGTCGGTCAACTGCTTGCTGTAGTGACCACAGTGACCACAGGCGGGCGATACTCCCGGGCGGTTAGCCGCTCGCTGTAGTGACCACGGCGGATATTCCCGGTCGGTCAACTGCTCGGTTGTAGTGATCGGTGACCACAGGCGGGCGATACTCCTGGTCGGTCAGCCCGAGGCCGCTGTGCGTGCCTTCCCGCCGGGGACGGCCGGTCGGCGCCGGAGAGCGGCGGCAGCACCGTTCCTGGCGCCAGCGCCGCCCCAGGCTGCCATTAGTGAGACGGCTGGTCGCCGATGACCGAAGCCCAGCCCGGTGTGGCCGACCCTCTCAGAGGGCATTGGCTGCAGTTGCAGGGAGGCCCGAGGCCGACGGACCCGCCGTCGGCCGGGGCGAGATGACATCCCGATTGAATATGCAGGGGCGAAACAGAGGGGAGGCCCGGCTAATAGTATGCAGAGGAAGATCAGCTGCATGCATCGCCGGCAAGGCATTAAAAGTTGTATTTTGTCGGTGGGAATACCCAAGTTCCGGCGTCATTCCAGCCGATTTGCAGTCTGACATCCACTGCCTTCAGCGTCGCATTCAATGCTCCCGGAATGTTCGACTGTTGTGCGCTGTCATCGGCAAGGTCAATGACAAGTGATCATCTGTTCCGGTGGTCGGCTCGATCTACCAGTCAGCGTTCCGTGACCGGCTGTGGTGAGACGGTGGGCCGGGCCGGGCCGGTTCCCTGTGTGGGTCACTGCCCGCCACCGGCTGCCGGCTGCCGGCTACCGTCCAATGTCGCAGTGCGAATCACCGCACGGTGGCGCTCGTCATGAGCTCTGCACGTCGTCACCTTGTCAGGCCGAGCAAGTCAACACTCTCCTAGAGGCAGAGCATTGACAAAACTTTGAGGTCCCCGCCCTTCAGCTGAACTGCATGTGGTGTCGGTGCGTAAACAAGGGCATTAAGGCATTAAGTATATCTGATCTCTCAGTGTCGAACACAATAATATTCTACTACATAGTAGTCGATCACCTTCATGGGCTCGGATAGGCTTGGCGCTCAAGACTGTCTTACGTCCTTGATGATGGTTCGTGGTAAAAGGGTGCACCAACCATGAAGCCATTCGCACCATTCTGCCCTTGGGCGCCCGCACCACTTGACTCCTCCAAGACAATAATCTTTCTTCTGAACCTGCTGTATCACCGACACGGAACTGTCTGGCCGTCAACACCGCATATTATTCTGCAAGGAGCTCCATGGCGTGGAGCTGATCGCAAGTCATGGCTCTTTATCAAGCCGACGAGGCCCTTGTAATCACTGCTCACAATGTAACGACACCGCGGCGTCACGGCGGCGTCACGGTGGTCACGGTAGCGTCACGGTGACGCGTCACGAGCCATGCCCGCCCACCGTGACTGCCGAACTGCCGTAAAGACGCGTGACCGGTCGGTGACCGTGTGATCCGGGAGTCAGTCCCGACTGCCGACTGCCGCTGCCTCACCGGTCCGGCGGGACCAGATCCGGTCCGGTCCGAGTCTGATGCCTGCACTGGTTTGGACCTGGTCTGGGACTGACTCGATCCAAATCCAACTGATGAGAAGTCAGTTTCCAGCCTCCAGACATTCTGGTGCCGCCAAGCTATCGTTATTTCCGTACGTACGATGGAGCATAGAAAGAACAAATTATGCACACTGCACTATTATGTAGATCCAACGGGTAACATTGATACGTTTGTCGTGCCCCTCTTCCCCCCCCCCAAAAAAAAATCCCGGCATCTGTCTTTTTAGCTATATACACGTGTTTATGTGTCAGAAATCCATACAAGATCGGCGTAGTCGACCATTGGCCGTCCCATCAACACCAAACCTCAGTCGACGCAGAGTCAGAGTCAGTGAGACAGTAGAGAGACGTCCCCTCATGTTCACATACCCCGACTCTCCGCCGCAATTTGTTGAATAATTGTCACGACCCCATCGCAAACATTTACAATCGCACAGTGGTCATCCGGCCGTGTCCAAAGCCAGACGGTGGCGGCAGCCCGGCCTTGAACTTGTACGAGCCGCCTGACTGCGCCAGGAATGCCGCACTAAGGGCCAGGAGTCGACGAACTGCTGCGCGCCGCCGGCGCTGGCGCCGCACTGGGGAGGACAATTTACACCGGCCCTCGCTCCCCGCCGTGCCTTCGGCCGTTTCTTACAGCCACTTGTGTCGGTATGGGTTGGGGGAGAAGAGATGGGGAGATGAAGAGATAAAAAGTCGAGAGATGAGAGAGAGAGAGAGAGAGAGAGAGAGAGAGAGAGAGAGAGAGAGAGAGAGAGAGAGAGAGAGAGAGAGAGAGAGGGAGGGAGGGAGGGAGAAAGGGAGGGAGGGAGGGAGAAAGGGAGGGAGAGAGTCTCACGACGGGCTAGCGAAGGGACGGACGAACTGACGAACGAAGAGATTGACGTAACTAAATATAAGTAACAAAACATTCTCTCACCGATTTATTCAAAGAAAACATGTTTTATAACGAGCGTAAAATCATTAGGTGCTAACATATAATTATACATTGTAAACTTATAAAAGAGCATCGGCAAAAAGACAGCTTTAACTTATTTTGGACGGAAAAGAACAATGCATCGATAAAACAATTCATACACGATAACACAGCCATGGATGACACGCAATCGAATAAGCCTTGCCCCGTCTCCCTAAGCCAGTGGGCACTCCTATACAAGTGGCTTCACGTAAGTTACAGATCTGACACAAAATGCCGACTGTCACTATCCTTGCCGAAGCTTAGAAGTGTTTGTTAGATATAATAGCAAGAAGTAACGCTGCAGATGTCACATAAGAATCGGTTTTGGATAACGTTCCGCCGTTTAACCCTAATAGCCCTATCGCCATAACCCTGCTATAACCCGACCATTAACCCGCGCCCCGTAGGGGGGGGGCCGAAACGGCCCCCCCCTGTCCTTTTCGGTCGATATCTCCTAAACCGTTTCAGATATCGCCACCAAACTTTCAGGACCCCTCCGGGCATCAATTTTACACATTGTGACCAAAAATTTTTCCAGAGGCTATGATAGGTTGGCCACAAATGACGTCAGAATGACGTCATGTTCTGTCATTTTCGACCGAAAAAAGACCTTCGCGAGAAGACCTGTCAGGCCTACAGCTTTGAAGATACAGAAAAATGATCAAGACATAAAAGGTGTAGAATTGACAGGGCTACAAAACTGCTATCTCGGATTTTTGAAATTTTTGAGTTTTGAACCCCAAAAATAAAAAAAACATTTTTTTGGATATATTAGCCAAAAAATCCAAAAAGTTTTTTGAGTTTCAAAAAAACCGGAAGATATGTGATAGTACCTACCGTCTTCTATCTACATACCGAATTTCAGATCGATACCTCGTTTTTTGGCCAAGTTATAGCGAAAAAACTGTTCAAAATTGATGACGTCAAATTTTCAAACTCAATTTTTGGCAGTTCTAGACCTCGTAGAGCAAAACAAAGACCACCATTAGACTCCCCGTGACGAGCTGCATCGAATCGATACCCATTTTATGCAAAAATATCAACTTTGAAATTTGACCTTATTTGACCTGACCTTGACCTGACCTTCACCAAAACGTGACCTAGGCTGGCCCCAAAGGCTGCCTAACCCATATAATCGCATTTGTCATGTAAAATGGACCATAAAACATGTATCACACGACACTTTCATATTGTGACCCCGGTGACCTGACCTCGCTGTGACCTGACCTGGTATCAGTGACCTCAGATAGCAAAGTATGTATTTGACGAACAATGTACCATCGATGGTTTTCAATAAATTACCAATTAACTCGATTTCACAACACATTTCTTGAAATGCCTGTGAACGGTGAAAATCTGACCTTTGACCTGACCTGTGACGTCATCGGTTTGACCTAGGTCAATGAAATTTGGTCACAAGGTAGTTCCCGGGTGGGGCTATCGAACGCCGTTTGAATTTTGAAAATCGGCCGGTAACTTTCCGAGATCTTAGGGGGGGGGGCCGAAACGGCCCCCCCCTACGGGTGGTAGGGTCCGCCGGTAGCCCTACGGGGCGCGGGTTAACCTTTTTTAGCCTACTGGGTTTACAATGTTAGTTTAAAAGTTAAAATATGTAAATACGTTTTGTTATGCAACTCAGTTAACAAACTGCGCCTTTTCACAGTGTCGGCCTCTGACGTATGCGGACCTGAACCGACCGTCATCCATGTCGCCAAGGGAGAGAAGAAACATGTGAAGTTCTGGAACACAGAAGAGGTCCCGACCACCACACCACAGCCGGCGGATATTACAGACACGGTGGAGATATGTACTGGCCACCTCTCGGATGGCTTGGAGCGCTCCGGGGACTCCCACAGCCCGGGTTGCGGGCACGGCTCTGCCGGCCCCGACAGCTCCGATAGCAAGAGCCCCACCAATCCCGACAGCCAGAGCTCCGCCAGCCCTGAGGACTCAGACAAGCAGAGCCCCGCCAGCGCTGAGGGCTCAGACAAGCAGAGCTCCGCCAGCCCTGAGGGCTCAGACAAGCAGAGCTCCACTGGCCCTGAGGGCTCTGACAGTCAGATCTCCACCGGCCCTGAGGGCTCTGACAGCCACAGCTCCGCCGGCCCTGAGGGCTCCGATGGCCAGAGCGCCACCAGCCCTGAGGCCTCCGACAGCCAGAGCTCCGCTGGCCCTGAGGGCTCAGACAAGCAGAGCTCCGCCAGCCCTGAGGGCTCCGATAGCCAGAGCTCCGCTGGCCCTGAGGGCTCCGACAGCCAGAGCTCCGCTGGCCCTGAGGGCTCCGACAGCCAGAGCTCCGCCAGCCCTGAGGGCTCAGACAAGCAGAGCTCCACTGGCCCTGAGGGCTCCGATAGCCAGAGCTCTGCTGGCACTGAGGGCTCTGACAGTCAGATCTCCACCGGCCCTGAGGGCTCTGACAGTCAGATCTCCACCAGTCCTGAGGGCTCTGACGACGTCCAGCAGCAGCTGGCTGAGCTTTCTGCTCTGTCGGCCATTTCAGCCATGGCCAGCGAAGCGTCGTCAGGATCACAGGAGGAGGAGGAGGAGGGAAGCGCGGCGCAGCCAGATGTGGAGAGTCCCAGTGAGGCTACCGAGACAGACGGCGCAACTGGTGTCAGTGTCGAGCCAGAGGGAACTTCCGAGGCCGAGGGTGCCCCAGGAGCTGAAGTCGACTTGCCCTCCGGGAAGACTCCCGATGTTCAGAAAGACGAAGAGGTATCTATAGCACAGCCCGACCAAGAACAGGAAAAGTCGACAAATTATTATCCCATTGCAGACCGTGTTGTTTCTCATATCGTTAAAAAAGATGAGGAAGCTGTGAAGGCTGAGGCTCATGTTGTTTCTTCCCCTAGTGACTCATTTGTGGTTGATGAGAACTCAGAAACACCAGAGCCATCGTCAGGTGCTGATGAGAGTCAGCTAGAAGGCTCTGGAGTGGAAGAACAGTTTTCGGCATCTGCGACCATTCCGTTGAACAAATACCATGAGATCCGGATACCATTACAAGATGGCGAAGCTCCCGGGCTTTCATTCGAGGGCTCCGGAGAGTTCGCTGCCTTTGATGTCGGTTCGGAGACTGATATAGAAGATGACCACGAACGGCTGCTGAAGGTAACGGACATCAATGACGACAAGGTGACTCTGGAGTGGACGCCTGATCGCGAGGGCTCCGGCGACTTCACCCTGCAGTTTGACTCTGCGCTGGAGGCGGCGGAGCGGGAGGGCTCCGGCGACTTCACCCTGCAGTTTGACTTTGCGCTGGAGGCACCGGAGGAGGAGGGCAGCGGCGTGGTCGCGGATCAGACCGCGGACCTGGGTCGGCAGGAGGAGCCGCTGTCGGCCGACGCACCGGGAGCAGAGGTGGAGGCGCCAAAGGTGCACGGCTCGGCTAACCATGATCCTGCTTCACCAGAGGAGGAGCAGGACGAGCTACTGCCGGTGGCACAGCTGCAGCCCGAGCCGTCGGAGACCATCTACCACCTGCTGTCATCCCTGCCGCTGGGCCGACCTGCTGCTGACGCCACTGCTGATCAGGCCACGGCCCATGTCGAGGAGCAGGCTGACGCGATCCCTTATCAGGCCGTGAGCCAGTCTGATGACACGCTGACTTCAGAAGAGCGCCTGCTGCTAGTGCAGGGCCTCGAGGGCGACCGTGTCATCCTTCAGCACATCCCTGACGAAGAGGAGGGATCTGGCAGTGCCACGTTCGCCACAGATCTGGCCCGGAAGCCAGTTGAGGAGGAGACTGAAGCCTCTGGTCAGGCTTACACGGACACCGCCTTCGAGGCGCCTGGGGAGACCGACAGGGACGCTACCGTCGAGGCGTCTGGGGACTCCGCGCTTCAGGAGGAAGAGGTCAGTTTGAGCAACGAGTCCGAAGGTACTTCGGTGAACAGCGGAGCGCAGAAATACAGCGGTAAGCACCCGCTGATCCGTGAGGAGACCTGGGTCACCGAGGAATCGGACATCATTGCGCCGGAGGTGCACATTCCGGCGCATGTCGAGAGCGAGCTGCAGGCGGGACCAGTGTCGGGACCGGTGGTCAGGGGCACCGAGCAGCTGGCCCAGGTGGAAAAGGGTGTCGTGCTGGAGGAGCTGCCCGTGGCAAAGACTGACGGAGATCCCCTCCCACAGGTCTTCGAGAGTGAGGAGCAGGTCGCTGATGAAGCTGGCACGGGCGAGACAGGAGTTGAGGTTGATATAAGTCCTGATGAGTCAGAATTGGAGAAAAGTGAATCAAACTCTAACGAAGAAGAGATGAAGTCAACGGACAGTGTCAACGGTAATCCGGATGTTACTGAAGACAAGGAGGAAACTGCGACTTCTGAGGCAAATGCTGCTGCAACCGAAGATGGAAGTAAGGAAGATCAGGAGTCTGACAACGAGAACGAGGATGTTGATGACGACGATGATGATGATGATTATGATGATGATGATGATGGTGATGACACTGAAACCAGAGAAACGGCTGCTTCTAATACAGTGGATGGGAAAAATAACGAGGAAGATGCAGGCGCTGAAGATGCCGTTGAGAAAGATGCTGAGATAAGTGGCAATGATTCAGCAAATGTAGAGTTCGAAGAAGTAGACGACAAAACTGATGATTCCGATGATAGCCAAGAGAGTGATTTTGCCGATGCTGATTCTGAAGAAGTTGTAGAAGCTGAAGGTTCTGGCGATCCCACTCCAGTCTCCACGGATCCGCTGTCTCTGCTGAGTAGCGTGTACCGTTTCATCAACGGCGACCAGAACACGCCGCTTTGGCCGCCCAAGCGACCCGCCTGGATCGACTTCTCTTCCCCCATGATGCGGGAGGTGATCAGTGGAGCAGTGCAGGATTCAGACGAGTCTGCCACGCATGAGACCATCGTGGTAGGCCAGGGACCCTACTTTGAGCTGTATGGGGCCGGGCTGCCGGACCGGCCGCAGCAAAACTACCCTGTATATGATCAGACGGAAGAGCAGGAGTCGGAGGCCCAATCAGAGCCAGAGCCGGAGCCAGAGCCTCAGCCGGAACCGGAACCGGAACCGCACTCCGAGCCGGAGCCAGAGCCATACTCGGAGCCAGAGCCTGAGCCACACTCGGACTCGCTGGACTCAGAACCTCTGGCGGACTCGGAGCAGTCGCAGAGTTCCCATGCTGGGCCATCTAAGCCCGAACAGCAAATGCTGTCCTTCGACGCAGCTGAAAGTCTGAGAAACACTGATGACCAGTTGTTTAGGTGAGTGACTACATTTTTTATAATATCATATTTATTTCTACTGGTCGTAAATCGTAATAACAAGCCACGTAGCTACCACTCTTAAATTACTGAACATAAATTGGCTAATGTAAAATAACTTTTGTTACCGCAAATCAAAGTCAGGCGCAGAGAGCTTATACTGATTAATTACCACAGGTCACCAACCGCTGCTGAGTACAGTAAAAAACCCACAGTCTGTCGGCCGACCAGTGTCTGCGGCCGCTACTGCCGGCTCGTCTTCCATTTGTGACCTCAGCCGGTCGCCGACGGTTCAGAGGTCAGCACCTGAGCTATCTGTCGCCGAGACAGGTGTGACTCAGAGAACTGGCCCGGCACGACCCGTCTGACGACTTATCTCGACCCATCCTGACCCATCCCGACCCGGCCCGACCCGTCTGACGACCCATCCCGACCCTTCTCGACCCGTCTGACGACCCGGCCCGATCGGCCACAGGTTCATCCGGTCTCAGCCGTACCCGTTCGTGTCGGCTCTGCTGCACGGCACCGGACACCGCGGCTCGCGGAAGGCCACCAGCGCCGTAGACTGCGAGTGGCAGATCAAGGTGAGAGCTTCCCTTGAATCCCTTCAGACAGACCCGCATAGGCCCAAAAAGGTGTGCCGAGTAAACGTACAGCGACAAAGTCTCGCCGAATAAAAGGAGGGTCCAATAGGGTCGGTAGGAGTATGCATGTTGGGATGGATAGGATGGACGCAGGTCCCATCATAGCAGTAGCAATGGAAGCTGTCCTATATGCTGGCACTAAAAGAGCACAAAACTTCCATGCCTGACGTCTTAGAACGGGATGACACCCACAAGAATGGAACCACTGAAAATTGAAAAAAAATGTTTTGCATTTAAAGGTCTTAACGGGTTGAGACAACATTGTCAACTGTTGACATTACGAAGTGCACGCCAGAATAATCAAATTTCTTCATGTTTATGATAAGCCGACTAATAAACTGAAGCCTGCACTCAGCTGCCGTCGGGAAAACCACCGGCGAGTTCTGAACAGGTTTTAGATCCCGGAGAGCCGAAGCAATGGTAGCGGAACAATTCATCTTACCGTGGCGACTTCTCTGCGCTAATGATAATGCATAATCCCGTATACGTCTGATACCATCCTGTTTTTCATGTTATACAACCAGAAAGGTCACGGAGGTCGTTGACAGGAATATCGTATGTGTTAAAGGGACCCTCCCACCTTCAAAAAAGTTAATGAATTGGCACGAAAGTGATGTCGCTCGGTTCAGAAAGAGCGAAAACGAATATCTACCAAATTTCATCGAAAAATATTCACCGGTTTTCAAGATATTAGACTTTTACTTTTGTTTACTTTTTGGGATCTCTGCTTTTCCTAGCGACTTTATTTGAAAGTGCGGCATTTGTTGCGCGCAAAGCAGCATATACCACCGCGTGCTACCAAACGTTTTAGTAAAAGATTTAAAAATCGTTTGATCTCCGCTGACGTCACAAATTCTAAGGGGGCATACCAATGCACTAGCCCCTTAGAATCCGAAAACTGCAAGTTTGAAATTCCATATCTCCGAATTAAAGCATTTGTCGATGTTGTGAGTGCCCAAACCGGTATTTGCAGGCCATGGCCACCAATTTGGCTATCTCAACTCAAAACTAATGTTAAGGTGGGAGTGTCCCTTTAACCTGAGGCATATTTCAGAATGAATGAATACTTGAGTTGGACTTCTTCTCCAATACACATTGCAGTCATACACATTTTTAAAGTTATTTGTACTGACTGCTGATTGAAAATCGCATTTAGGCTCTTAAATCTGGTCATGGTTTACTTACAAGTCAAAATAAAGTGTTGGTGAATTTAACTGACCTGATTATCACCAGACTGAGCCTCTTTTTGCCTGCATTTTTATTTGACTGACATGTCATGACCTGACCTGACCTTACCTCACCTCACCTGACCTGCTACCAGACGAAGCCCCACCTGTACCCGTCAGTACCTGCGACCTGACCTGACCTGACTTCATAGGTGTCGATTTGTATACTTTTGGGTGTGCCCGGGCACCCCCAATGCTGAGTTGGGCACCCCCCAAGGGGCTCTGGGCACCCACAACCAAAGTTGGTACTGACAGGCTGACTTGCTCTGCTTCCAGACGGAGCCTCATCTCTACCTGTTGGTGACGGTGAACAACCTGAGCGCCCCCTACACAGTCGACTGCGACGGCGCCTACATTGAGGTGGAGCGGGAACGGGACGGTTTCGAGGCGCGCTGGTGCGGCAACCGAATCAAACAGGCAAGTGGCATGACTTGGAGACCTCAGACCATATTCGGTCGGACCTTGCGAGTAGAAAACAAGGCGGACGATCAACACGAAAATCGCTAACGTAAACGTTAACGCGTACTTCTATTGCACACCTACCCAGCGCCATGTTTCATTATGGTTGCTGAAGTCATATCAGATCCCTCTCTTTCGTTTGTGATTGTTTGGGTCCAAACTGACCTGATCTGACCGAACTCGACCTGACCTGCAGAGCGGCTCCCGGCCTCACATGGTGTTTGCCCGTGGAGAGGTGCGCATCGCCGTGTTCAACGACGGCAATACCACGCAGCTGCCGACTGGCTTCGAGGCAGACGTCGAGGGTATGTAGCCACGGACGCTGGGAGCTCAGATATTTATAGGCGTGCTGGGGTGTAAAGTGTTTAACTGTTGACTAATGATACATTGTGCAGAAAGGTGAAAGCTATTTTCGATTTAAACCTCATACATGAAAGCTTTAGGAGCCAGAAATCTACTCGTATATATCACTGCTTACCGAGACGTATAGTCGACTACAGAATGATGCTCCACTTTTCACAGGCATTTACAGCCTGAAGTGGTAGGCTGTGCCGCATGACACGGACTGAGTTCACAAATTATAGCTTTTTCCCAATGCTCACAATCGACACGCTTAATTGCGTGATAAACGGTACAACTTAGCGCTCCGGTCAACTGATACCTTCTGAGGAGTGGAACATCATTCTGTAGTCGACTATACAACTCTTTCATGGATGCCCCAAGAATACATTTTAAATCATTTGAACGAATAAGCAATTAATCGGAAATATGTGCTTGAGACAAGCATCATTTGTTTACCTTACTCAGTGACATGCCCTTTAAGTACCTCATTTGAAGAGAAAGTGCAAATGAATTGAAACTTTTAGCTTCATTTAAAACCCACAATATTGTAGCGTTACTTTGACAGCCGGGAACTTTGATCACGTGACCTGTCAGCCGGTAGGCGATCGCAGTAGCCAATCAGGGCGCGCCTAGAGCTATGCTAGTTTGCGAGTTATCCAATCAGAACACGCCAGGAGCTACGCTAGTTAGCCAATCAGGTGACGTATGGCCGGCGGCCGGCCAATACCCGAACGGTCCTCACGTGATCGGCTGGGTGGTGAACGCCGCTGTCATTCAGAGTGGGAGATCTGATCCGCGGCAGCACCTAGTAAACAACCCAACTTTGAGCGCCGATCCGTCCCGTTTCGTTGCAGTGGTGGACCTGCTAGACGCGCGACAGTACGCTACGTTTCGACGCTCCGGCCTGAACTTCCGGCAGCTTGGGCAGGACCCGGTTCTGCCTCAGTGACCCGGAATTTCTGCATTGACCGAGCTTAATTGCAAGATCTGGCAGCGAGTCTCAAAGGATTGTCAACAACGAGACCAAAAATAGGCGACAAAGAGTCGAACTGATGATGCTGAAGACTCAGAACTCTATCGTGTTGTGCTATGAACACTCCGTCCATTTGTAATACCACAGGGCATTATGTTTTTATGTGCTTTGTATAGTAATCAAAGCAAGTGAAAGCTGGCATTGCAGCAACATGTATTTGTTTGTTTGTTCGTGGGCATTGACTCATTTATGTAGTTCAGTTGACGTTATATTCAGAGATGATGCGATGAAGCTACGGATATTCCATCAAGTGGTGCGATCTCTCCGAATCTTCTGCCGGGTGATGCGTAACCATCAGGCTGATCTACCACGACTTAAATAGAAGTGCTGGCCGAATAAATATCGTAGTGTATTTCTATTTGTGTGCGTGTATAAAGCCGACAAGGAATTACTCACGCACGGACGACTGACGGGCAGCGCAGATCAGGCTTATGCTGGTCACCGTCAGATGGCAGGTCCAAAGCAGGTGGCAGCACAGCGGCGACGTCTATTCTGGCTGTTAGCCTGTTACTATCATAAAACGGCCCAGGGTTTACTGCAGAGTACAGAGCTGAAAAACCACACATTCATTTTAAAATGTACACATATTTGATATTATGGGCTCCAGAAATACTTAAACACGATCCGATCCTATCAACTTATGATTAAATCAACCCCTGGTCCGTGGAATGGCAGCACTGTCAGACGTTTCTTACTTTTAGTGCTCAGCATCCCGGAATTCATATGTGTGGTAACCGAAGCAATGTGTGCAGGCTGAACTCTAGAGCCTTCTTCTGGCGTTCATCACAAGGTTTGCTGTCATGTTTTCTGACGTTGTCAAGATATTACCATCTCGATAACGTTGACCAGATGATCTGGTTCATGTTAAAAAGGCTGGCACTAATGCGTTTTAACACCACGGCCATAACCGTCAGGCTAACGTCTTGCGGGCATATAACCCGTTTGGCCGTTTCAGTTTTGGAAAAATGGTAGCAACACTTTAACTATATAATTATGTTTCAAAGTGTGAGAAAGCCAATCCTAGCGAGCTAACAGTGCAGTTACAGTAATAAAAAGATTGCTTTCAATAGAAAGGCCCATAATAAAAATGGGGTTGGTCGTAGCGATAGCCACATCAGCTTGAACATCGTGCCGAATCTGAGGGTAATGCAATTTCCGACTCTCTCACTCGTTGTCATCCAGCTATGACGTCGAAGCTTCCTGCCAGCAGATGGCTTTATCGATTCCCGGATTCGGACGGCGCAGTCGAACGTCGCCCGGAAGGAATGCTCAAAAAGTCGAGATAACTACGTGCTCAACCATCAACCATTGTGATAACGTGGCGTGTGTAAAAGTGGCGCTTTCAAATATCTCTAGAGAGACACGGAAAGAAATGGGCACGGGAAAGTGATTGCAAGGTTGAATAGAATAGATTCGAAAAGTGGTCCTGGGGAGAGGGGACATACTTCTTCCGACCTTCCTTCAATTTCTAAAGGCTCCTCGGGTTTCGCCTTCAAGCGATGCAGTGCAATTCAATGTAAACTTTCTCTTTTAAAAGCTGCCTAGCGTTTTTCTTTGCGTAGAAAACACACAATTTCGTGAATTTCGAACGCCACGGGAGGGGCAAACACCCAAAATGCCCCATCCCTTGCACCCGCCAGTGATAATAATTAATAAACGTCAACGTACCATAAATTATCATTTTATTACAAAGCACAATAAATTGCCAGAAACAATAGCAAACAGATGACGAACTCCAAAAGAAGCGAAAAATATTTCAAAGTAAATAGCTGTCAATAAGATCTGACTGTCAGCTGGGCAATCCAATATGACGAGGAATGTTTCTGTTTGCGAATGATTCATCTAATTAGCTCAAACAGCCACCGCGTCGTATTATATCACTGTTACACTCCCTAAGCGTCACTAATGGGCACAACATCTTATTGAGGCATCACAGATGCTAACGTACGCCAAATTACCACAAGTCTGCTACGCAGTGTCTACCTGGCACCTACCCAAACACCCCCGGATAGACGTATCACTAGCTCACACACCTTCCCCGACTGACGCGGGGTCAACGCACGTGCAACGGCCCTCTACGCTGTGCGTGCACGTGCCTTTGTGCAAACAAATGACGTGCCCCCCCTGTCACTGGTTGGAAGTGGGCCACATAGCCCAAACAGATGGACAGAAAATAAAAGCCGAAACAGGTCAACAGTGCGTTTAACATAAATAGGAACGTGTTAGTTGATGTAGGAAGAGTCCAGGAAGCCAGTCCTTGTCGTGCGTTGCGCTCCTCATCCGTTATGCCTCCTACAGGACTGCTATTGACACTGCACGGACGATACATCTTGCCTACACCAGTCTGGCCTCGACCAGGGGCGGGAATACCGGTCACAAACAGCACGCCACGAGCCTATCGAGCCTATCGAGCGTCCGCGCCGAGCCTGTCATTACAGCGGCAGAACAACAGATGCGTGAGAGACAATTCATCTGTTTGAAAGTGTCAGGAAGCTGAAAGCTACTCCGCTATCAGACCCACGCAACCAGACCAAGAACCACAGAGCGCTGAAGACGCGATCAATAAGCCGAGAAACGAAATGGAGCAGGAGTCGCCAGCGTACGCAATACAGCGCGAGGATATGAGAGAAGCTAGGCATGGCACGACCACATAGCTACCTCGAGCTGCCTACAGGGACACTCACTATCGCTGGGCCGGACCAGCGCGTCCATACGTCCTTCCGCCCTCGGCAGCCAGCGAAGGCGCTCACAAGCCTGACTTCGATCTTGACGTGCACGTCTTCCCCGCGGCCCGCCGGCGTCGGCAGGGCACCAGCCGTCCTCACCGCGGCGGTTCCGTCTTCATGTCTCCTCCAGACTGGCGGAGCGCGACCTGACCTGACCTGATCTGCACAGGCCCCAGCCGCCACCAGCTGTTCGCGCGCCGAGTTGGGCGTCAACAGAACACGCTCAACCAAGTATAGGCACTGACTAACACTGAGCTGGCCGGTCGGGCGGCAGCGGTGCCGCGCGGCGTCCTCCGCAGAGCCGTCGGCCGCCGCGGCGCCTACTGCAGCGAGCATTTCCCTGCGGACACGAGCGGAACGATCAGCGGTCGGTCAGCGGTCGCGGTCAGGCCGCCGGCGCCGCCGTGGCCACATCTCAGCCGGTCGGCCCCCGGGAAATGTCCGGGCCTGATTTAGGGCAGCGCCGACACCCGCGCTACACGAACCAGCTCTATCTGAGGCCCTCCCGACACCCCGGCAATTTAACGCCGCGAATGGCTGCCGCAAAGGCTATGTGGTCTGGACGACCTTTATCTGGCCTCGGTAACCCAGCATGACTGAACAGATAAAAATATACCCCACATATATTTTTATCAGAAGTCCCGGAGACGTTATAGGAATAATATGCAATATGCATGCATGTACTTTCGCTTATCTCCAGAGTCCATTCACATAACCATCTGTTGTGTGTTGCATAAAAATGGCCCCACATTGCTCGTCAAGCCCGTGAAGACCGGCGTCCAATGGCCTGTTTAAATGGAAAGCAGGCAACGCCAAGGCTTGTATAATTTCAAGAGTTTCAGAGGGCAAACATTGTAACTATTCTATAAAAATATACCTTTTTTAGATCTTAAGAATCAGAAGATTATTTTTAGTTGTTTGATGTTTGACTGTGATGGCAAAGTTATTGTAAATTATTGCTTAAGTTTTTCCTCTACATCAAAATCTGTTTTAGGTATGCTGTGTGAAAATTTTCACGGCACTCTCAACTGATGCCAAGCACCCCTTTCAGTCATTGATGGTTCATGCCTATCCATGCATGACAATAATTACAAACGAATATGTCCTCAACTGACGTCATGTCGTGGTTTCATAGCAGCATGCACAATGCGTATTGCACGATAGCATGCGGATAACGTTTATTACCTATAGTAGTAACGTACAACGTCCATCAACATTAGGTATCATATTCTCCGCATATACCTATCAGGCAAAAAGACAATATTTTTCTCTCTATACTTGCACTAAAGGCTACAATCAAAGGCGAGAAACCATCAATTCTCGAGCTGTTCGACGTTTTACATGTTACATAACACATCGGCAATTTGATTTCCCGTCAGCTTATCGTCGCATTCATAGGCCTTACTTCACTTTCACATAAAATGACAACCTCTCCTTAACAAGCCAATGAAATTAAGAGATGTTTCGCCTCCCTCAGACGTTGAGTTTTCTCGAGCGTCCAAGTCGGACACAAAGTAGTAGCAGTGTTGAGCTGCATGCAGTAGACGTGCTATACATGTCACAGTGAAGGCGCAGTTCGTGCAGGTGACTACAGCACAAGGTTACAAGATGTTACAACGGTCTGGAAGCAAGAAGAACATAGCATACATCCATTGTTAGGCACGTAGGGAGTTGACATGACAGGAAGGGCAAGAGAACGGTGAGATCAATTGAAATGGAACATTGAAAAGCTCAGCCTAAGACAGAGAGTTGGTGACGCCATGATGGCAATGAAAAATGGGGTCCTTTCATTGATGGGATGAGGTAACGTCACCCTTTATTTTAACATTCTATAGGATACTTCGCATACTGCATAGAGAAGTGTTGAGTTTCTAGCGTAGGCCTGGCTTACAGTAGGGAGTCATATACGTACCGTGAATTGACCGCCATTTGTCTGAAACATAGACCGACCAGTCAGGAGCTACGGTGTGCTACCACGCAGTGTCAGGCCCGATCTGACCATTGGCCCGTGCAGCGAAACCGTGAGGCAAAATCAGGTGATTACCATGCTATTGTATGGCGATTTGCGTACCACGTCATTCTCGAGGATGATTTCGTGCCATCGCCAGCATTATTTAAGTAAAAAACTTGCATCAGGCAACTAAAACTATCGCAATAATTGCTAAAAATATCTAAAATGACTAGGCGAGAAAACTCACGCGTGCAATTGTGCTAGGACTCCAATGTGATATAAACTAAGAAGCATAGCGCAAATTACGCTTTGGCTGATGTCCTTATTTCCCTCACCTTCAATTTGCTGTTTTATGTCTCCTACTTGATTTTCCAAAGTGTTTTTCAACTCTGAAATTAAGAACTTTCGTGTCAGTATCTTGAACCTCTGCTTAACCTTAACTTCACGGTCTATGTTTAGGTAAATGGAAGACGGTCGCATTTGGTGCCATCAAATCGTGCTGGCGATTACAGCTGCTGTTTTTATTCCTATTTATCATTTTTATTAGTGTGTTTTTGTATGTACCTATCTAGTTGAAAATATGCATATTTGCGTTTCATTTTGTTTCCACTTCACTCTTAGTCACTGAACAAGACGTTTTACTGTATGTTTCGGAATGATCGTGCCCAGTTCTACAGTGCATAAAACGGCGCGTTTTTCAGCGCTTTCCCTTCACCAGTACCAAATACCAGTATCAAACCATATCGATTGCCAACGATCTCACACTCTGAAAATCACGAGTAAGAGATTCACACGTCACGACCTTCACCGGTCCACGGTCAGTATGAGACCGGGTCACACACTGGAAACTGTCCGGCATCACGTAACAGTCGTCTAACTCAGAGCGCGGCGACAATTCGCCCTCGGGCGGCAGCTGCTGCCTGCTACCCACCGAACATACGCTTCGGGCTGCCCGACCGCCGACTGGGCCCTGTGAACGAGCCGCCATCAGCCGAGGCTAAACGTCCATCAATCAGATGTCGATGGATTTTCAATATCCGCGATCGTTTCAAGGCCCGTCACGCATTTTAAGACCGCATTTTAATAACCTACTGAATTAGAAGACGATGAAACTATGAAATTTGGCATTTTACCCTCTGGAACAAGGAACAGCATCTTTCATTAGTCTGAGACGATGCTGTTGCTCAATTCGACGAAAAGAAATGACAAATATTAGAAGATGTGAGTACAACGAAAAGGTTCAAGCAATTCTAGTCAGCGATAATAAGCCGGTGTCCCGGGGGCGATGCGCGGGTCTGCACCGGCGCCGGTGCCGCAGTGCGGTCCTGTGGTGCCGGGTAGGAGGACGGTCAGCAACGATCGACCCCATGGCGTGCCCACAGCCCAGCCGACCCTATAGGCACGGGTCGCCGGGGTAGCCGGTGGAACTGCCACTCGAGTGACCGGCCGGCCGGCCCGATGGCCCTTGAAGCGGGCCGTAACACCGCAGCCGGCAGAGGGGAGCAGGTCGAGCCATCGACCGCCGCTCGAGTGTCGGCCTCCAGCTCCGGCCAGAGGCGGCTCGAGCAGTCCGACGGCACCGAATTACGCACTTGGTCGGATTTCGAGAAATAGGTCCTCCGGCCGGACCCTGGAGGGCTATCGCTCCGCGTCAGTTTGGCGGCGTTTCTCGATTTACAGAGCCGGGATTCGGATATTTTATTCAAAGGCTCAATCAGCCGAGTATGCCTACGTCTTTTAATACTTGCATTAAGCGCTCCCAACTCCCGAGCGCCACTCTGGACACTTAATCCGCTGCCAAACTTTGCCTCCGTGGATGTAACTTAGCAAAAGCCAGTCCAGCTTGGAAATCGTAGATCAGACATGGCCAGATTCCAGTCCTCGGCGATAGGAACCAGACTTTTTTGTTTGACCTTGTTTGGCCTTGTTTGACCAACTGATGAATTTGATAAATTTGACCAACTGAAAAATGTAATAAAAGCTTTTAACGCGGAAAGAAAGAGAATATTGGTCAATAAAGTTTTTGGTTGAAGATCTTAGATCTTGGCTCCATGGCAATGTTGTGTTAAAGTTATCCATCGAACATGGCGACACTACATGTTCCAATCTAATTATAACCCAATTAAAACGCCATTTACGGACGGTGGCACCGACAGATCAAATAATTGAACAAAAAGGTATAAGCTAAATTTTGAATTAATGTTTCGAAGCGATATCATAAAGGACGAAGCAGCATATTTTGACAGTCGCAAATAGTTCATCACTGATGAGGACTCAGTTTGCCCATTTGTCTCTGTTAATCGGCCTCGATAAGACAATCACTGCCGAGTCCCGCCGGTTCCCCGCGGCGTCACTCACTGGTGAGCTCGTCCTGGTCAGCCATCTCGGCCTCCTTCTCCAGCTCCTCGGGCGTCTTCTTCTTCCGCATCAGCGGGTTGTCCGGCTCCATGTTCATCGGGTCCACCTCCTCCTTCTTCTTTATGTTGTACTGAAGAGAGGCGGCAATCACGGTAAGGCTGCCGTGATGGGATAGCAACACAAACACCGGGCGGCAGCTGTTGGACCCTTGACCTTTTTTATAGCATAAGAAGGGCATATGGGAAATCAGTCTGTCAGCGAGTCGCGAATTTCTAACGGGAAATCAGTTTCTATCGGATGTCTGACAATCGTATTGCGTTTGATGCCAATTTGATTTACCAATATGCAATACCATTTGCCCCTGTTTCTTATACCAGTAACTCCGTCTTTTCAGTTTTCACCTTATCTCTGATGCCCTGCCTCATGGTTTCCCGCTCCTCTTCCATTTTGCGGTGTTTGTCCTTCCTCCTCTCCTCTGCTTCTGCGATGGCTTCCTGTCTCTCTCGCTCTGCCTCCTCCTCCTTCTCCTTGTCTCCTTCGTCATCTCCGCCACCGCCGGGCAGCTGGCCTGGGGAGACAAACATTTCAGTGCTCACAGCTGGCCTGGAGAGACATCACCATAGAGCTCACAACTGGCCTGGGGAGACAAACATTTCAGTGCTCACAGCTGACGTGAGGAGACAAGCATTTCAGTGCTCAAAGCTGGCCTGGGAGACAAACATTTCAGTGCTCACAGCTGGCCTGTGGAGACAAACATTGTACGAAGCTCACAGGTGGCCTGAGGAGACAAACATTGTACGAAGCTCACTGCTGGCCTGGGGAGACAAACATTTCAGTGCTCACAGCTGGCCTGGGAGACAAGTGCTCACAGCTGGCCTGGGGAGACAAGCATTTCAGTGCTCACAGCTGGCCTGGGAAGACAAACATTGTGCAGAGCTCACAGCTGACCTGGGGAGACTAATGTTGTACAGCGTTCACAGCTGGCCTGGGGCGACACCACAGAACTCACAGCTGGCCTAAGAATGCACCACCACAGAGCTCGCAGCTGGTCTGGGAAGATAACTACCACATGGGGTGACATCAGGTCCCGGGAGAGGCCACAACAGAGCTCCAGCTGGGCTGGGGAGACATTACGGTGCTCCCAACTAGCCTGAAGGAGACAACCATCCCAGCTGGCCTGGAGAGATAACGACAACAGTGCTCACAGCTGGCTTATGGAGACAACACATCGGCGACGTGGTCTGGCTATGGCGCTAATAATTTTTCATACCATTGCAAAACTTCGCATATTTGGTTGCGGCAAGACAAGTGGGTCTTGCTGACACCAATTCATAGGCGGTGAGCTAGCGCAGTTAACCAAAAAGCAGCTAAGAAGAAACTTAATTAATTAACTTTCCTCAACTTTAAGCTATGTAATTGTAAAACAGGTTATTCGTTAGTGAAATGTTTCATTTTCAACATTGAATGCATTCCATTAGAAGGAAATGATGCTGGGTTCCAGCTTAGAAGTGTAGTCATGTAATACTCAGCTAGCTTGGCCTGCTCAAATCATATGCAGCTATCTTAACCCTCGCATGTGTGCGGCGTTTGCCAGCTTCTAATGTGTAGGGGGGGGTCGGTTGGACCCCCCCCCCCTTGCCGTTTGGCCCCTGATCGAGCTAGAGCTTCGCGGAAAAAACGAGCGTGTTGCCCGTGACGAGAGGAAGCCGATGATACCCAATTTTAAGGTCCTAGGTCATTGATTGACCTTCCAGGTCAGGTCAATGACCCAAAGTCGGGAAAATCGGGACCTGTTAGAAAGTCGTAAAGTGTGGCTGCTAAGGGGTTTTTCGGGGTGCTGATCACGAATATCGTGTTAGTTTTGATCACAGATGATGTCTTGAAGCTTTTAGACCAGGTCGGGTCAGGTCAGGTCAGGTCAACCAGTAGGCGTCGTGACGGGTATTCGTAGTACGTGTCAACCGCCTCTGACAGCTTCGTAACATGTTACGAAGTCACCAAAACTACTTCGTAAATGTTCAAATGGTTGCTAAATTCGAATTCAGCTCCAAAAACTAGCCTAGAAACATGTACAACTCGAAAAAGTGACCCGAGGTCACCCGAGGTCACCAAAGGTCAATGACCTGACCTGACCTTCAGGTGACCTTGACACACACGGCAGTAACATCAAATCACATGTTGGAACGTTTGAAACCACGAAAAGCTTGCAAACACGCGGCTAGTGCGAGCCGACATACGCGAAATCGCGATTCCGGCCAAACATGGTCTCGGAAAAGAGGTCACAGGTCAAAGGTCATTTGGGTCAGGGTCATGAAATTTTCAGGGTAGGTGTAAAATTGATCAATGCGAGGGTACTGAAAGTTTCGTTGCGATCGGCCGCTTTTTACGCGAGTTATTCGCAAAAAACCATGGGGGGGGGTCCATCGGACCCCCCCCTACACATGCGAGGGTTAACAACAGAACAAAGCAGGCAAAATCAAAACTCGCTTGTGGTTTCTATCACTGCTGATGGCTTACAGGTGAGCAAAAGGCACTGTCTGGCACTGTGAATAAAAGCCAATTTCCTGAAACACTTCCTGCATTTTCCTTTTCGAGATTGGTCGTTTTAACTGGTTTCCCCAAAGTGGCGTCACGTTACGTAACCGCTGTTATTCCCTGGTTATTCCCGGAGTCGGAGTGAGCTGATTCTTATTCCGGGCCGGCCGATGGCCTGTCTGTTAAAATGAGAAGAAAGCCCTGCGTTCGAGCGGCTGGCCAGTGTGCCTGTTATGTGTGGAAGTGGCTCGGCCCCTCAGATAGCGTAACGTTCTCGATAAGGCTCGAATTAAAATCGGAGCTGGTAAATGATAGGCAAATTTGCGTGCATTCGCGGTATTTAAAAACTTAAACACACTCGTCTTCTACATAAGTTCTCGTTATTGATTCAACATGCAATTGATTGTTTCTGAATAAACATGCAGAATGGTTCATATGCGGTGCCTTTCGTCTCTCATCATTTTGCGATCTTCAGGCTTCATTCAGAGCTCTCATTGATGTAAAGAAGCCATATCGCTAGAAAAAAAAAACTTTGAGGAAAGGCCAAACTCACGGGAATGGCGAAATACAGACTAGAATCCACTTAATAAACCCTCGGATAATAAATTCAGCCGCTTATTGTGGCCGCTTGAGCTGTTCACGGATTTTCTCCATAGATACCAATAGTAAATAAATCCGCTTAATAAATCCACGTACTCCGCTTAATAAAGCCACTTCGAAAAGCGGCATCCAACCCGCTCCCAAAGAACCGCACTGGAGCAGCAGCCTGCAGCAGTTGGAGTTCTAAAAACAGGAGTTCGGGGCTATCAAGAACACAATCATCATGCGTCTCAAATAAATGTTCCCGGCAAAGCAGGCACGCTCGACTGTTTCGTTGGCGTAGCAGATATGACGGGGAGTGATGGTGGATGGATAGGTTGACTTCACCGCTGTGACAGCTTTGCAGTGTGCGATGGTCACTTTCAGGGGCTCCACTACGGTCGCAGGTTGGGGAGGGGGATGTTCAACCCTAAATGTCCAACAGCCATTACATATCCGATGGGCTGCATTACGAAAGTCATATTATTGGGGGTACGACTCTGGACCCCCGCGACCCCACCAGTGGCGGAGCCTCTGACACTTTCATTGGTATAAGTAACCCATGTGAAAAAATCTTGCAAGATTGTCTTGCACGATTTGTACAAGACAAAGTATGCAAGAAATTGGGACATATTCTTGCATGATCTTATAAGATTATCATACATGATTCTTGCAAGTCTTGTACCAGATTCTTGTCAGATTCCTGCAAGTCTTGTACCAGATTCTTGTAAGTCTTGTACCAGATTCTTGTAAGTCTTGTACCAGATTCCTGCAACTCTTGTACAAGACTCTTGCAAGTCATGTACAAGACTCTTGCAAGTCTTGTACAAGACTCTTGCAAGTCTTGTACAAGACTCTTGCAAGTCTTGTACAAGACTCTTGCAAGTCTTATAGAAGATTCTTGCATGTCTTGTACAGGGCTCTTGCAAGAGTCTTGTAAGACTCTTACATGTACTGTATAAGAATCTTGCAAGAGTCCTGTACAAGACTCTTGCATGTCTTGTACAAAGCTTTTGCTAGAGTCTTACCAGACTCTTGCAAGAGTCTTGTACAAGATTCCAGCATGTCTCGTACCAGACTCTGGCAAACCTTTTACAAGACTTGCTAAGACTCTGGCAAGTCTTGAGCAAGACTTGCAAGTTTTATCAAAGACTTGCAAGCCTTGCACAAGACTTCCAAATTCCAGACACATCGCCCTAAGATATCGTTTCAATTGTATTTATGTCGAGACCCATGTATGCGAAATCCATGAAGTGAAATGAAATGATGTTCCAACGTAAGCGTTAAAATCAATATTCACAAAAATGTCAATCTGAGAACACATATTAACAGCCCTTTACTTTTCGAGTCACCCACACGTCACAGTCACATCACCTCATCACACGTTGACGTCACGTCACATCACAATTATCGTCGAAGCCGCCGTTTCGTCTGCATCCAGCCACTCGACCACAGGAGGATGTCGTTCGTCCTGCGCCTTGCATCGCATATTATTGGTGAGCCGAGATTTTTGATTGCTGAAATGAAATGACATTCATATAATCAGGTATCCGCCATCCGGAGCCAGATGTAAAAAGGTGAGCCAGTATCAGCCAAAAAGTAGAATTGATGGGACTTTGAGTTAATTCAGTGAGCAATCGTTTTCGGTTAAAGATATCAGCATATTTAGCTATCATACTCACATACGTACTATCCTATACATACACTCACCTGGGTCCAGTTTCGCCGCATGACGCTACCGTCAGCACTATTCCCTGTGTGGCAGGCAAAAAATGTCAGGTGATCATTTATTTTCAAGTGAACGTTTCGGCGCCGGTTTTGGTCTGTGATGATGCAAATATTGGGATCAATTTTATTATTGTTACACGGCATGGCACTGGCAGAAACTTACCTACCTGCAGGTCGGAAGAGGAGACGGCAGACGGCACCGCAACGCACACACTCAACACTTCCGTCCTCACATCGCGAGCGGGCAGCGAATGGGACGCCGACGGATGGAATGCGGCGGAGGGGGACGCGGAGTTCCCCCTCCTCGCCTCAGGCGGGGTCTGCCGTCCGTCCCGGACGGCAGACCCCGCCTGAGGCGAGGAGCCGCCGCCGAAGTCGCCCGCCGCCGACCGTACAGTCTCAAAAACGGACAAGTGGTCGCTAAATTCCAGTCGGTACAGTCTCTAGAACACATGTGCGTCGCCTACAACTTTTCTCCGTGGGACCGTGTGGAGCAAATGATAGCATTTGATTGAGAATTCAGCGAGCCTTTTAATTAGGCGAAAAACATTACTTAATTAAAGGTGTCAAGTGATTAGCGGGAGATGCCTGGGATCAGCACATTCTTGTAAGATTCTTCAATCTTACCATAATCAGCATTCTTGCCAGAATGCTGGCAAGAATGCTGATGCCTATGCCAGATTCTTATAAGATCTGTATGATGTTGGGCAATCATGTACAAGATCT